TGGCCAAGAAATTCAACAGACTCCAAAGAGGATGGATGTTTGCAGGCTGGTCAAAAAAAAGCTGAAACTACAGAAATCACACACACATACATACACACACACAGAACATACCAAGAGGAAAACAACTTATATTCTTCCCACAGCATGGCCTTGCTCAGCCCCCTGAGCCATGGAGGCCCAGGCTTTCTGGGACGCCTGACTGACCCCGCAGGTGCTGCAAATTTGTAGCAACTGGGGGCCCCAGTGGTGTCAGTCCAGGCTGCCCTCATCTCACCTGGGGTCAGAATCCTGGCCCGGTGCAACTGGAAGTGAGAAACGATGAGCTTCAAGATGGCAGCCACAGGGACCTTGGCAGCACTGGAGGCCAGAAAGTGCAGCTGCCTGGGCCATGCACGCACTGCCGCCGCTGTACAGACCGGACAGGCTGGGACTCACTGGTCCTTGCAACCCCCCTCTCTCTCCTCCTCCCCCGTCCGGAGACCCTCCACTTAAGCTTGTCAGCCAGTAGAAACTCCTAAAGTAGACCACACGCTGCAGGGCTGGGGGAGGGCTGGGGTTTGCAGTCACGAGACAACCTGTTGCATGATTTCCGCTGGGATTGTTTCCCCTTCCACACGCTGGCCTTTTCAGAAGGACACAGGCAGCGTAGGCCAAGGTAATTTTATACTTAGACTGCAGTTTTGCTTCAGTGCCTGTATTGGTATTTCAGGGGCTGTCCCTGAGCTTTTATCCCCAAGGCTAGCCTTCTACCACTTGAGCCACAGCTCTACTTCTGTTTTTTTTTTTCTTGGTAGTTGATTGGAGATAAGAATCTCATGGCCTATTCTTTGAACTGTGATCCTCGGATCTCAGCCTCCTGGGAGTAGCAGCTGGGATTACAGGCCTGAGTGATGGGCATGGGGTTTCAATGGCGTTTCCTAAACATGTTTTAACATCTCAGCTCACTTGGGCTGCTACACAAAACACCACAGGACAGTACAGAGAACCAAGAGTCACTCCTCAGGGTCAGGGAAGGAATGGCGGCCTGGGGTGCGGTGAGGGCCACCCCCAGCTCCCCACGGTGTGGCCTCCTGGGCAGGCTGTGGAGGAGCCGGCGTGCTTTCAGGTGCCTCTCTTATAAGAGGTTGGATCTCTTTCCTGCAGAATCCTGGGTGAGAACTTCAGCATGTAATTACGTAGACCCTGGCATTTATAACCCACCACACAGAACGCCCTATTTTTCATGGTTTGATTTGTTGGATATGCCTATTTTAGTCTTCTCATCTCACTTGACACTACTGTACTGGCTGCTATAGCCACCTTAGCATTTTCTTTTGGAATAAGCAGGCAGACATTTCTAGGTCCCAGAATGACCTTCATCTGAAGGTCACTGGACTTCTGGGGTCACTTGCTGCTCCCTTCTGCTGCTGGCTGCTGGCACACAGGCTGGGTGAGAAGTCAGCCAGGCTCCTCTGTGGATTGCATGCCCAACTGCAAGGGCATGCTGGGAGGACAGACTCACAGACGTCAGGGGAGACCCGCCCCGGCCGACGCACCGCCATGCCAGGGCTCACCCTGTGACTCGGGGGTGATGGCATGTATGAAGCCCTGCAACCTGCTTTCCCACCTCCCAAGCTGTAAGCACTTGGCAGGAGTCACTGGGTACTGGGGTGGGAACTCTCTGGAATTCCAGGGGTCCTTGTACGGGTTGGTGGTCTGGATCTCACACGTGAGCGGAGGTCCAGAGCGGGCGGACCCCCAGCGGGCATGGCCAGCCACGACCCACTGAGGCCAGTCGCCCCACCAACCCTAACAGCAGTTTACAATTTAGTGCAGTGTGCCATCTTGTGGCGCAGGGCCATCCATGCAGCGGTGGTGGCCTTCATGAACACATTCTCCTCACCGGATACCAGAACATCACACGGGTTAGGAGCAGAGCGATGCCACTGGATGGACAGACTAGCTACAACTACACTGCATTAGAAACCAGCCAACAATGCAGACCGCTTCCTCAAGTCACAGGCTGTGTGAGTGGCCCATCCAGGTGGGACAGACTTCAATCTCTGCAGTGGAGGGAGGTGGAGGGAAGCCTTCACCAAGGCTCAGTTCCCAGCTGGGCCCATCTTTCAGAAGACCGCGGAGTGTGTATGAATAAGTAACAGGTTTTCCCAGTGTACAACACACAGGAAATGACACCTGCCCAAGGGACCTCATGAGGAGAGACGGAACTTGTGTGTGGTAATGATCATTCTTGTGTAGCTTCTTTTCCAAGTTTACCGTGAGGTTGAGTAAAACAAAGCTTAGAAGGACTGGGACAGAGAGGAACAAGACAGACAGACAGACACACTCCCATGTCTCATTCTGCCTATCTTCTCACTAACACTGACCACAAAGCCATGCATGGAGTACGCACAAAGTACGAAACACACACACATACACAGAGCACCCCCCCCCCCCCCACACACAGTGTGCCCCCCCCAGTGGCTCACTGGAGCCACCCAGACCTGATTTACTTACTTTAAACCTCTGAAACTCCACTTCTGTGCTAACCTTAACCAAGATACAATCTTAGGTAAGATATTAAGCAATCTAGTTTTTCTTATGTGGGAAAAACCTGAATATTTATTATCTGTCTACCGAGTAACCATGCTGTAGTCACAGGGGGGTACTTATTGAGGGTTAAGAAACCCTGGGTGCATGCAGTCAGCTGCCACAAGTGCAGTGGATCATTTGTGATGATAAAAGTGGTCTGCAAACTGAACTGCCCAGAACAGGACACATGCAGCTCAATGCGTTATGACAAAGCAAAATACACATGAACAGGGCCCGGGGGACACAGCCTTCTTGTGCGCCAGGCCCCTCCGCACGCCCTCCAGAGCACACAATGCTGTGTTCACACAAAGTTGGTTACTATCCAGGGAACATCCAGCTGAAAGTTTCAACCCAGTGGTTCCTGACTTGCACAGGAAGGGGCCTGCTACCTGCCTGGACAGTCCTGCTACCAAGTGCTGGACCCACGCCCTGAGCATGAGCTCACTGACTCAGGGCTGGACCCACGTCCTGAGCGGTGCTGTGGCGGCATCTAGTGGCCCCTGTGGGTAAAAGCCACCCTGCCTTTCCTTTTCCTATTCCCTCTGCTCCCCTCCTCCTCTCCCTCCTTCCCTGTCCCTCCCTTGACCAATAACCAGGGCCCTCCGCAGGGCGTCCTGGCACTGGGACCGGTGTGATGCCCGTGGCCTGCATGCATGTGGGAAGTACAGGGCTACCTGGGGGTGAAGGGCGGATGTGGGGCCCTGCACCCAGGGCTCCACTTCAGCTGTCTGTCTGTCCACTGGGTTCAGGCTGGCTGACGGGGCTGGGGACCCGGCTCTGCTCCCCAGGTCAGTCCACTTCGCCCTGGTCCCCAGGCCCCTGTCCAGACTCCCACATCACCCCATCCTGCACATGAGCAGGAATGAGGAGGAGTGAGGAGGAGCAGGAGTGAGGAGTGAGGAGTGAGGAGGAGCAAGAGTGAGGAGGGAGGAGGGAGGAGGGAGGAGGAGCAGGAGTGAGTAGTGAGGAGGAGTGAGGAGGAGGAGTGAGGAGGAGGAGGAGTGAGGAAGAGTGAGGAGTGAGGAGTGAGGAGTGAGGAGGAGCAGGAGTGAGGAGTGAGGAGGAGTGAGGAGCAGGAGTGAGGAGTGAGGAGGAGCAGGAGTGAGGAGGGAGGAGGGAGGAGGAGCAGGAGTGAGGAGTGAGGAGGAGGGAGGAGGGAGGAGGAGCAAGAGTGAGGAGTGAGGAGGAGTGAGGAGGAGGAGTGAGGAGGAGGAGGAGTGAGGAGTGAGGAGGAGTGAGGAGTAAGGAGTGAGGAGGAGTGAGGAGTAAGGAGTGAGGAGGAGCAGGAGTGAGGAGTGAGGAGGAGGAGGAGTGATGACAGAAGTGAGGAGGAGTGAAGAGTGAGGAGGAGGAGTGAGGAGGAGTGAGGAGGAGCAGGAGTGAGGAGTGAGGAGTGAGGAGGAGTGAGGAGTGAGGAGTGAGGAGGAGCAGGAGTGAGGAGTGAGGAGTGAGGAGGAGCAGGAGTGAGGAGTGAGGAGTGAGGAGGAGTGAGGAGTGAGGAGTGAGGAGGAGCAGGAGTGAGGAGTGAGGAGTGAGGAGGAGTGAGGAGTGAGGAGTGAGGAGAAGTGAGGAGGAGTGAAGAGTGAGGAGGAGCAGGAGTGAGGAGTGAGGAGTGAGGAGTGAGGAGTGAGGAGGAGCAGGAGTGAGGAGTGAGGAGGAGTGAGGAGTGAGGAGTGAGGAGGAGTGAGGAGTGAGGAGTGAGGAGTGAGGAGTGAGGAGTGAGGAGTGAGGAGGAGTGAGGAGGAGGAGGAGTGAGGAGTGAGGAGTGAGGAGGAGTGAGGAGGAGCAGGAGTGAGGAGTGAGGAGGAGTGAGGAGGAGGAGGAGTGAGGAGTGAGGAGTGAGGAGGAGTGAGGAGGAGTGAGGAGTGAGGAGTGAGGAGTGAGGAGTGAGGAGAAGTGAGGAGGAGTGAGCAGGACTGAGGAGGAGTGAGGAGTGAGGAGTGAGGAGTGAGGAGTGAGGAGGAGTGAGGACGAGTGACTAGGAGCAGGAGCGAAGAGTGAGGAGGAGCAGGAGCAGGAGTGGGAGGAAGTCCTGGAGGTCTCTCCCAGCCCCTGCCAGGTGCAACGTGGGGCGGGGCCGGAGCCAATGTGGAGTGGGGAGGGGGTGGAGCCAGGGCGGGACCTGGAGGGAGGGGCTGGCGGCGCGGGGCGGGGCCAGAAGGATGAGGGGCGGGGCCTCGCCGCATCCTCTGAGCGGCCGCCGCGGGGCAGCATGGGAAAATCCTTCCTCCCTCGGACATGGCGTCCAGCTTCCCAGCGGCCGCAGCCGGCCCGCGCGCCGCACTCCGCGGGTCCGGGCAGAGGAGCAGCTCGGGCCGCGGCCCTGGGGCGGACGGCCGCAGCGGAGGCGGCGGCGGCGCGGGCGCGGCTCCGGAGCCCAAGGCGTGAGGCCAGGGCCGCGCGGGCGCAGCCGGGCGGGCGCGGCAGGCATGGGGTCCCAGGTGCTGCTGCTGCTCCGGCAGGGCGTGTGGGCCGCGCTCACGGGCGGCTGGTACCACGACCCTGAGCACAGCAAGTTCACCAACAGCTGCCACCTCTACCTCTGGCTGTTTCTGCTGCTGCTGCCCCTGGCCCTGCACCTGGTGAGGCCGGAGCTGGGAGGGCGGGAGGGAGGGAGCCAGCCCAGGCCCACGGACCACACCGGGGAGCGGGGAGGACGCCTCCGCGGGGCGCAGGGCTGACTCAGGCTTCCTGAGCTAGGGGATGGCCGGCCTTGTCTGGCAGGTGCGCAGCCAGAGGCCTGGGGCCTCCCCTCAGATGGGGATAACTAAAGGGCCGGCGAGAAGACCAGCTTTTGTTCCTTTGATGTTCTTTCTCCTCTCTTTCTGCTCTGCTCTGGGAAGACAGGGTCGGTGACCTGTTACTCACCTTGCTCTTTCCAAGCCCCTGGGTTCAGAGATATGCAGAAGTAAGGAAGTTTCGTTGAGTGTGGAACACTCCGGGACTGGGCACCTCGGTGGGGTCATGGAGAGTGACTGCTTTCAGAGTAAGTCCAGAGGTGACCTTCTTAGGAGAATTAAGTATTCCTAATTGGAATGATGGTCGACCCTAACTGGTAAGCCAGATGTCACTGGATCTTATGTGCCGGGAATTCATGATGATGGATCTGTTGAAGGACTTTATTGTAAGACAATATGCTGGCATGCTCTCCACAGCAGAACTCTTCTGCCTGACAGTTTCCGAGTGTGACCTTCGAGGTGGCAGTGACTCTGCAGCCTCTTTGCTCTTTTTCTGGCCAGAGAGAGGTTGTGGCCATGGCTCTGGAGCAGGTGCCCGGGTTCACTTTTGGATCCCCCTCTTACCAGTTCTGTGACCCTGGGGGAAGTTACTTGCCTGGTCTCACTTATTTTCTATTCTGTAAAACCAGGGAAACAATAGTCTCAGACTGGTGAGTTTGTCTGGGTGATTAAGTGTGGCTTGACCTGGCTCCACTCAGTCCTGGGCTTACAGTTCTGGTCTGCTCATGAGCCGCCTAACCAGCTAAACCTTTCTATCCTCTTGGTTGAAAGAGGATATGTTAATGATCACTGTACAGGGTCAAGTGAAATTCTGCATAAGAAAGCATTCATTATAGATGCAAGATCCATGCTCACCCTTGGACAAAGGCACATTTCCCCTCCCTCTCCCCTACCCCCCGCGATTTTGTGCACCTTTGTGTTTTTCCTTGGCTTAGAAGGGAGGCCTGATAGTCACCAGGAGCACGGGCCTGGATTCACACTGTTTCCGCTGCTGGTTACCTAGGCAAGCAGGAGAAAGCTTCCACAAGCCCCAGCTTCCTGTTTCTCTCAGCAGAGCTGATGAGAGCTCCTCCTTCCTGGGTCCATGTGAGGATGGAGTGAGTGCATCAGTGCAGGAAATGGCTTCTCAGTGTCTGGCACTACCTTGCCACAAGTGAGTCTGTTTTCCACCCGCAGCTTCCCAGATAACTCTGTCCTTCAAGGCCCAGAGCCGGCGGCCGTGGCTGCCTCTCTGCCCTGGAGTCTCTCCTGGGAATTGTGCCTGGATCTTGAGTGTAGGATCATGCACATATTTGACCTCTGCTTCCTGATTCTGAGCCCTTTGAGGGAACAGATTTTGGTGTTTTTATTCATTGTGGGTTTCCTTACAATAGAGGGTCCCACGTCTCATGTGTGATGAGCTGGCCTATCCTATGTCTGGTTCACTGTACATTTGAGTGTTACTGATAACAAAAGTAACACCTGTTCTGCCGATAACCCCAGTTCTCAGCAGAAGTCACCGTTGATCTGTGTCCCACAGGTGCTGCTCCTGTACATGTGAGCCCAGTTTTACAAAACTGCCCCCCACAGGTAAGGGCCTTGATGAGAGTTGTGGAAGGTGGGCTGTTGAGTAGCCCTGCCCAGCTCACCTCATGGTGGTTGTTTTGAGGGACCGTCGGTGTGCTGCTGAATATCTGAAAGGCTGTGGTTACCTGTGCAATCCCGAGGACTATGCTTTCCTTGTCTCCTTGGCCTCCTGGAACCTTGGCCGTTCTCTGTGGTGCTTGTGTGATCACTTATATCCTTTACCTTTCTGAGCACTGGTGGGCATCTTCCTCCATTGTAGGAGTCTAAGAATTAAGTGGGAAGTGTGCTGATCCTATGCAACCTTCTGGTACCATTAATGGTTCCTCCTTCCTTCCCATTTTCCCTCCCTCTTTCCCTCCTACCTTCTACATCTTCCATGTTGCCAGATGGATGCTCAATGAATGATGCAAAATGACCCAGGTGTGGCTCTCACACCTGTAATCCCAATTAACTGAGCCAGGTATGGTAGCTCACACCTGTAACTCCAACTGCTGGGCAGGTGTAGCTCAGGAGGGCTATGGTAGCAAGCCAGTTCGGGTAAAGTGAGTGCAAGACCCTAAGAACACCAAAAAGCAAAAAAGTTGGGGGTGTGGCTCAAGGGTCAGGAGCCTGTACAGCCAGGGAG